TACGATCGAAATACAGGCAAGTCCCACTGTGGAGTCACTTTCACACCTAGGAGCTACCTCTTTCCATAATACATAGCAGCCTGTATGTAGTTCCCTTGTACCCTTAGGCAGCTGTCTCACATCCGGTACATCCCTTCCTGGGGCATTAAGTGAAGGCTAGTTTCAAGCTCAGAGTTTTCATCCTCAGCATATTTAATGTAGAACAACTTCTTGAGGTTGCTGCAAAGTAAGGAAGAGACCTTCTGTGATGAGAGCTAAGGGCTGCTCTAGAAGCCCTGTTCCCTCACCATCACTCCCAAGATCTCAGCAGAAAGCATGAGGAAGCAGCATTTGATGATGAGCATGATGAGCATTTTCCAAAGTATTCAGCAGCCCCAGCTGTCCCCTGCCAAGGGACTTTCAGGCTCACCACTTCAGATATAATTGATCAAACGGGAACAGTTTGATCAAACGCTGGGAAAATTAGGTTTGGGTTTGCTAATGCGCCAGTGACCCTTTCTCTAAAATGAAGCCCTGCAAAAGCCAAAGAGTCCGAAAGTGCCTGTAAAGGAAAACGCTTCAGCAGCTCTAGGTCTGGCCCTTGGGGAACTTGTATATTTTCTCAATCATTGTTATTTCTACCAGCAAACTTAAACTCCAAGCCTGAGTGCAGGATTTGGCTTTGGGAATAGTAACATGACAACGAAGTCCCAGACAGCAGCAGCTTGTTTCTCTTTCAGCAGCGGTAGTTGTTTGAAATGACACTACGTAGTTTCGAAGCGAAAGTAATATATACTGTATTTTCCCTTCATGACTGATGTGATGTTTTTGCAATAATAATATAGATGCGTAATTTTCTCTTCTCTTCTACTACTTGCAAAATTCTCACAGCTTACAGGATACACTGAGTTACAGGATTATTTTCAATTATGCTTAAGTAATTTAGGGAAACCAAGCCCTCATTTAAAAGTAACTAAGGCACCCGGCAGTCTTCAACCCTTTCAGTAAGTATCGTATGTGCCCCCAGCTGAAGGTGGGCTAGCACCACAGGTGGGTGCCCCCACCTTAGGGCTAAACCTGCCAGCCAGGTAATAGCAGCGAAGAGGCAGGACAGAGCTTTGCAGAGCTTGTTCAGAGACCGAAGGCACATGTTTAGGTGACTATTTAGGTGACTGTGTGACTGTATCTACATTGCTCTTGAGATAGATGGTACGTGGTTTAATGCCACTTTGGATCTCATGCAGTCGAGCTGTGTTTCACTGTGCAGACAAACCAGAGGGCTGCAATAGTTCATGTTCCCCTGAAATCAGGGAGGTTCAGTACTCAGTCAAGGCAGAAAGTCATTCAGGCCCTCATCTTGCAGTGAGCCGCAGACAAGTACATAGGGCCAGTAGCAAGAGCCAGTAAGGTCACTTTGAAACACATGGTGATCTTCACAAAAATTCAAGTGGAAAACTTTTTCTGGGAGCAGAGCTTGGCTAATTACAGGCACGAAACAGGCTGCGCACAAAGCACATGAGCTGGAAGAGCTACAGTGTGCTTTGCCAAAACCGTTGGGGCCCCATTCAGCTCCCGAAACTGAGGAACCTTGCACCATGAGAGGTGCCCTAGCATACTGCACCTGCTCTGCCACTACCATTCCCCTTAAGTCCCCTAGGTCCCCTGTCACCCCCACCCCCACCACAGCCCCTGTTGAGGCCCGGGGACGGGAGCACACGTTGAACAGCACAGCAAGATTTCAAGGGGAGGATGCTGAAATCCCTCGTGATCTATGGACTGTGATTTTCTGGTCAGAATCAAAGTGGGAGACCCCAGCTTCATGGGTAGGAAAAAAAAATCACTTCTGTAAGGTCTTCCCAACTTGAGACGGTTGGGGCAGTTTGACAGACTGGGGATGGCATCTCAGTAGACTCGTTGCTTTGATTTATTAGCAGATTATTTAGGTTGTCACTGAATAGTCCAAGGTAAACTAAAATATGACCAGCCAAGTAGCTGCATGCACTGCTTTATTAGTTCAAAAGGCACTGTGAGCTGGTGCAATTCTCTCAGGTGGACAGGGGCTGCATCACTTCCACGGTGATCAGAGGGCGGAAGAAAAGGCTGATAGAAATGCAAAGAACAAATCGCAAAGGCTTCTGAAAGACTGAGGGAGAGCAGGAATTTCTGTTAAAATAAGAGAGACATAGATCCTTGTGGCCTAGAATGTCAGAAGGCCGGAAAGGAAAAAAATTCCAAACAGATGTCTGATAATACTGGCAGCAGCTTAGGAAAAAAATAATCAAGAAGAAGGTCGGCAAAGATTGCAGAATAAGTAGTTATTAAATTTCCCCCTTGAGTGCTCTTCTGACATGCCATGAGCCACCATTAATGAATGACCTCATTCCTAAGCATACAACTTCTGTGAATATTGTTTATGGCAAATGATTAAAAGAGGAAGCCACCCTGCTCAGAGTGCAGGTTTTGTCCTTCCGTCTCGCAGCTCTGATCCACCTCACACATGCTCATTGTGCTTGCCCTTGCTGGCCACCCCAGGAGAGCTCCATCTTGGAGATGTGGAAAGTGATGTTCCCCTTCCAGAGACTTCGCCTGCGGACTGAGGCAGCCTGAGCAACTGCCATTTCCCTTCCTGACCACTCACTCGATAGCGTAGTCATCCTTGTTGCTTGGGTCTTTGACGTAGACTAGAATAGCAGGCGATGCTAAACGTGCTCTGCTGCTGATCTGATTACAATCCGTATGATGAATAGACTATGTCAGAAATAACTGGATCTTTCCTACCACAAACTATGAATAGCATGACTTCTTCTTATTATTAAATAACAATAATGGTGATGATGATGATGATAAGCCAGAATCTGTCTAAACATGATCTTAAATTATTTAATTACCCAAGAGCAGAATGCGAGCTTTGTTTCTCAGAAATAGTTCATCCTTTCCCAAAGTACTAACTGCTGAAATAATTAGGAGCTTTCTGTAGCTTTAACAAGCTTTTATTCTTGAGCAGAACATAAACGTGTAAGAGCAGCTCTCAGCAATCTGACCCAGCTCTGACCTCTGGGTGCACCTGGCTGCTGCGAAGGCTGGGGGTAGATGCTCTGGGAGGAAAGCAAGAAGCTGGACTTGTGCAGAAGAACTCTCCTGCAGGGGGTCTCCTGCCATAACCAGTGCCACCTCCTCCTCGCTGAGCCTTTCTCAGAGGAAGTGCTTGGCCGTGTAGAGACAAAGGAAAGAAAATGAGCAGGGGTTTTTGATACAGCTTGCTGTAAGTGACTGCGGCTGCATTTCAAGACAAAACCGGTCACTGAGGTTTATTGGTACTTCCAGCCCCAGATGCAAACATGCACAAAGCAGCAGTGGCAAACTGATGAACGCTGGGCTAGCGCTTGAGCTGCTCGCAAGTGAGTGTCGCTATTGTATTTACAGCCTTGCGGCAAACAAGAAGGAAGAAATTTAGAGGAATGAATTTAGATGCAGAATAGTATCGGGAAATGCAGGCCAGGAAGACAGCCTTACAAAAATCAGATAAGTTCTGAACGTTTGTATGGAATCCCTAATACAGGGACATTTTTTTCTTTCTGCTTTCCTCCTCCATAATAATTCTGGTAAAGTGAAGAACTGTAACTGTTGTTTCAGCCATGACTCATACTGCTTCCAAGGGGATTCTAGTGTTCAGACTCCCTTTTCTGTTCCTGCATGACCGATGCCACAGTCCGGGGGAACAATGTCTCCACTGAACAACTACCTGAAGCCTCTCTGCAGCCCCCATCGTGTCATTCAGTGATAGCCACCCCTTAGATTTAACTTTGCTCTGTGCCCAAGGTCGCAGAATATCTCTTTAGCTTGTTTCCTAGAGAAGATATGATTTTTAATGACCCCAGGCTGAAGAAGGTGTCTCTACCACCCGGTTGCTACATCTAACTGTATATTTCAGGGCTCTCCAAGCTGCAGTGAAGGAACCAGAGGAATCCCAGCTAAAACAAAGAGCCAGAGTCTTGCAACTGTTTTCCCAGAAATAAGGATCACAGTTTATATCAACATGATGCATAGCAACAGCATAAACTTAGAAGGGTATCTGAAGATCACCACACTGTGGCTTCGTAACTTGAAGCCCAATTCTTCCTTTATTTATACTCTAATTCCACTGTTCTTATGCAGTAAGAGTAAGCCAAAACTTGCCTGAGAGTTCTTCATATAGAATTGCATTAGTCTCCCAGAAAGTCACTATAAAAAAGCATTGTTGGAACAAGCTTGGAAACTGTGATTCATTTTATTTACTTACAATCAATGATGTTAATAATAAATATTGCTATAATTTAACTATAATGTAGAAGCAAAGCTGTAAGAATATATTATATGGCTGAATACAAATATATAAAAATTTACAAATGTAATGCAAAAAAAGATAGGATTGCAATAACCAATATATTTATTGCTAACTATTTGCAGTGCAGGAGCATGCTGGGGCATGCAGGACTCTTAGTGGTGGAGGAGGACTCTGGAAGAATAGTCTCTGCTTAAACAAGGCTAAACTAGCCCACTCCTGCTGCCCCATCCATGTTTCCTTCTCAGCTCCGGACATGCAGCAGCTCCCACGCTAGCACTAGTGCCACTTAGGAAAGTCCAGGCTGGTTAGTCCCTAATGTCAGAAACTTCCCCCACCTCCAATTTTACTAGGATTTACTTTCCGTGCAGGCCAGGGCTCGCAGCAAAGCCTGGCATTTCAACACCACAGATGGGACAATTGCTCACGGGTAGCTGAGGGCACCCAAGTTGCACTGAGGTTGCACTGTTTCGGGAGGCTCTGCCTCTGACACTCCTGCCCTTCCTGCCAGGTTATGTCACATCCCCAACAGCCCTGAACTCCCAGCTGCCTCCTGAGGGAGCCCTCAGCAGTAATGCTGAGCATTTTGTTACTGGCATAAATGGGAACGCAGGTAAACCTACAGGGCTTTTGCTCAGCAGGACTAATTCCTCAGTGAAGGCTGCAGCACACTTGGCTTAGCAAGCTAGTCTCCATTTCGTGCTATACTTGCAAACTCAGTGTGCAAGGTGCTACATGGTTGCTTCCACAAGAGGATCTACAGCCATATGAGCAAAGATCAGGAATTAATGGCCCTGAGAAAGGTTAGAATTGATTCTAAGGCCGTACAAATGTATCTTAGTTGCTTTGAATAGGCACAGGCTGCCTATTTGTGTGCGGTGCCCACAGTCACTTCCTCGCTTCCACAGCAGCCTCTGGAAGAGCTCTGTTCTCCTGCATCCAGAAAGGCTGGCACTTTCAGCCAGGCAATTCTGAATCACCCTTAAAATCACGCATCAATGTGTTTTTGTGTCATTTATTAGATTAGAGAGCTACTTCTCTCCTCTCAGTCTTCTGAAGATACCTTACTTGGGAGCTCTCCTGCAGAATGGTGTGCCAGATGTGGGGACTAGAGCTCCCCACGCACTGAGAACTGATTACAGAAGCTTTCTTTTTCTAAATGAGAATGTGCCTTAACACATTGTTACATGGTAGATTTTATGCAAATGGTTATGGGCTGACCAATTCTTTCCGAAATTTACAGGCTAAAAGAAAAATGATGAAAATGTTACCCTTTCTCCAAAGTGGTCCTATCGGAATACGCAAAGAATCAAAGGATTGCATTGAGGAAAACAGGCAGCTTGGAAACCCTTCAACATCAGTAGCTGGGCAAGTCCCAGTTTGTCCTGAGCCTTCTGGAGAAGACTGGCCAAAGGATCAGGTGAAAACAAGTGAAAAGCAGGAGGCAGCCTGCAGACACTCACGTAAGTCTTCCATCACGAGCAATGGGAGCTGCACCTCTGCTGGGGAGAGTCCGGAAAAGGGGAAGAAAGGACTGATAGGAATCCTTAAGAGTGCACTTAAGAAGAAGAAGGACTCCAAGCCACTCAGTGGTAAGTGTGATCCATCCTCTGTAACACCTCATAGGCTATAGTTATCCCTAGAGTGGCTGCATAAAGTAGAGAAGAGTTGTCCCCATGAGAAACAGAGGCACCACCAGCTTAGACACGTCCCCCAAGAAGCCGAGGGAAGTCCCTCGGGTGATGTACTACGTTGCCTGTTCATAAACACAGCACGCTATACCTCAGAATAAGTCCAATTCTTCTTTGTACCTCCTTTACTGGGAGGCTGTTCCAAAATCTCATCGTTTTCGTGCAAATTATTTCCTTTCTAGAGAAGTCTATTCCTGGCTAATTTAGATGTCTTTCTACTTGTGCCAACTGCTATCCATAACTGATGGCTTTTGCTACATACATTCAAAGGGATATATTTAGCCTCCTTGGCCTTGTTTTTGTCAGCTAAAGGAGCCAAGCCTCCTGAGGGCAGGCTCTTCATGCCTTTGTTCTGACCGCTACATTGTGCCATTTCCAATGTCTCTTTTCTGAAATGAAGCACCCAGAGTTTAGCAAGTATTTCAGGTCAGATCTCACCAATGCCTGGTGCAGCAATGTTACCATTTTCCTATCTTTGCTGGGTATTGCTCTCTGGATACTTCTTGGAATCGTATCTGACGTTTTCACAATCAACTCGCAGTGGTGATTTACTGGTACTCCAGGTAACTTCCTTCCTCCTTCATTTCCAACTAATACGTATCCAGCTGGCAGCAGAAAATCTTATCTGTTGCTGAGTGACTTTTGTTCTATTAAATCTGTATATTGTACTTTGTGCTATTAAATTTCAGTCCATTTACTCTTTGAATTTTCCTGTTGTTCCTGTATTATATAACAAGCCCTCAGTTTCAATAAAGTCTCTAAACTATGTGTAATGAGCAGATGTCAACAGGGCACTCCCAGCTTTTATATTGTAGTCACTAAGGTGAATATTAGGTAAGATTAGTTCTATGATTAATGTAACTTTTCTCCACCCACGGGTTTTAATACAAATCCTCATCCTTACATACCTAACAAAACTGATTTTGGGCCATAACTTCTCCAGTTTAACTAATAATTTCCCACATTACACCATATGAAGTGATGGGCTGTAGGTCAGGTAGGATAGCTCAATTGTATCTATCTTGCCCACTAAATGAGTCATCCAAAAATTTCACTGATTAGATCAGGCCAACCTACTACCGGAAAACCCATGCAGTATTTCCTCTAGAACTTGTTATTTAATTACATTCTTTCCGTCTACATTTTTTCCAAAACCTTGCTTATTACTTGAGGTCATATTAATGGACTGGAATTGGGGGGATCGCTCCCTCCTCTCTCTCTTCTTTAAGTTTAGATATCACGTTTGCTAAATGCTAGTGTCTTCTTCACTATGATAGATCTGGACTTGAAGTAAATGTACCATTTATTTCAGTATTTTGAAATAATTATATATTACTCAGATTTACACTCCAGCAATCTGAGAATTTGCCTCAGATCAGCTTGTTTTGTTATATTTATTTCTTTTATACCCCCCACTATACTGTTGTGTGTTCCTCATTACTGGGTTTACTGACAACACTGAGGCAATATGTTCATTTAGATTTGGGGGCTGCGTTTCCATTAATTTTTAATTTTGATGCCATCCTCAGAAAGCTCTATGTCTTTCCTTGTTCTCAGTTTATTTATACATATAATTATACTCTCTTGCTGTTTGCTTTACTATATTTGGCAAATTTTAAAATGAGTTGGTTTGGATAATCCTCATTTTGTTTCAACCTATTGTCTTCAAGATGATGCTGAATAATTCTGTTTTGGCCCTAATAACTGAAATACCGTAACTAAAGAAGATAAGACTACTTTTTCCTCTGCGCTCAGAACTGCAGCATATTACCACAGAGTTTATTAGTGCTAACCCGCCATTTCCCTCAATCATAGCCCCCAAAAAACCCACTTCCATGACAAAATTGCAGTTAAAAAAAAAAGGAGGAATTTGACTTTTCTTTCAATATGAGTGGTCCACATGCCAGTTTTTGTAGCTGTTTTGCTCTGTTTTCCTTGCTTCAGTCTCTGAACTATAATGCACCCTTGGTCCATGTGTCAAATTCCTGTGGTCGCTAGCAGAGCAGGGAAGGCAATGAGCAAATGCAGTGTCCTCTCAGGCTTCCTTTGAGGGCAATGCAGATGGCCGCTCTAGTGCCTGGGGCTATTAGCCTGTGACTCTTCCTCCCCATCAGCTCTGCTCCAAGAAGCAACTATATGCAACCAAAACCATGGGATTTGCTGTTCCACTCCTGCCCTTATTCTTTCTCATAAAACTGACAGAATATCCTCAGGCCTACTAAAAACTCAAAGGACTTTCAGACCCTTGTTTAGTATCTCAACCACTGCAAGGCAATAAAAAGAGCAAACAGAACTAAACCTTGGAAAAAATCATGGGTAGCACCTGAATATCTGTTGATATTTAACACATTGGTGGTAGATATTCAAATTGCCATTTTCCCAGTTAGGGGTATGCATGGAATAATCAGATCTTTAAATGCACAGAAAGATTTTCTGTATGACGAAGGAGTCTAAGAGCTAGCATTATAGAAACATAAGCATAAAGAAAATAGTAATCCGGAATCATTGTTTTGTATAAAACAGAAATTTAAAGCTTCACTATTGGGTAAAGAAAGGTGTTCTTTTTTCCCCAGTCAAACAAATCATGGATCTCATTGAAGAGAACAAGTTTTCTGATGCTGCTCAGCACCTGATTGCCCTGGAGAAGAGCCTATCTATCAAAAGTGAGGAGGAATTGAAAACCAGCCAGCAGGACATTGAGTCCATCTATGAAATTCTGAAGCGCAAAGTCTTTGACATCTTGAAAGATTCTGTACTTCTAGCAGCAGCAAAACCAGATTTGCTGCAGCAAGCAGTAGATGCACTAAAAGAGCAGGAGAAAGAAGATCAGAATTACTTGTCAGAGAATCCACCTGACCAAAACATGCAATCTAGACCTAGAAAATGGAAAGAGCTTTGGATGGCTACAGTAAAGGAGTCTGTAGAGACTCGAATGAAAGACACCCATCGTACTCCTACAACTGAGAGCCTCTCTACAGCTGGCCAAAACCTCCTACACATGGGGAGGACAATGAAAGAAGATTTGACAGTAGTGGTGCAGCGCATTAAACAGCTGTATCCTCCCCATTTTAATGTGTGCAGCACATATGCAGAACTCTACCACAATTATTTTGCCTTCCAGCTGAAGAAAACTGCTGAATCTCAGCTGGAAGACAAGGATATTTACCTTCTCCTCTCATGGGTGCACAACATTTATCCAAAGTAAGTGATGCTTTTATACATGTTTATCACTGGTGATCAACAGCTTCACTGGCTGCAAAAAACATGAATTTGCTTGATTTATGAGTTGGTATCACTTCAGTGCAGTCGGATACACAGCTAGGTTTCGGTGTCTGTGACATTGTGCAGATTTAAAAGCAGTTAGCCAGGACAGTTGGAAGGCATTTGCTTCAGACTGGTGTTCTTTAAACCAAAGTCTCACCACATCAAGCAGGCTTCTGAGCAGTAGTCGTAAGCACAGGTGCTTAGGGCTTTACTTGTGGGGTAAGTTGGTCAGGTTCAACCAGTTGCAGACCTGAACTCATTCTTAGAAAATTCGGAAATTTAAGCTTTCAGGCTTTCTGGAGCAGAGACAAGCCAATAAATAACAATCTGAGATGTAATTATCCTGATGACAGAGGATGTTGCTTAGGCGTTACCCATAGTCTCTGCTTTCTGTGGGGTAAGGAGACCAAAGGGTCCCTCTAATAGGACATCACTAACCAAGGGCTGCTCTTCAGCCACACAGCCACCGTATATAGTAAAACTGAAAGGATTTGTTGTTGTTGCTTAATATACTAGGTGGAGAATTAAGGCATCTCATTTCTGAGATGAAAAACTGTAAATATATGAGCAGTGTTTCTTTCACTGTTGTAAAGCCATTAAACCTTTGCCTCCACTTCCTTCTCCTCTTGTTCACTGTCACAATATAATGAGTCAGTGTTGATCCTGGATTTTTTTGAGAGCCAATGCTGTGCTCTAGTTCAGGAGATCAATGAGCTAATTGCAAATTTGGGCAATATTGTAATAGCAGAATCATCATTCTGTAGTCAGTGATGCCAGATGCCATGCCTTGACATTCTGAGAAAACTGGGTGTGATTTATGTCTGCAAGGTTCAAAAAGGAAAAAAACAAAACAAAACCTGACCCGCTCATGTAATTACCTGAGAGGATGATGATGCGCTGCGAAGGGCAACGCCAGCAACCCCCATTGCCCAGAAATCCCTTGGCTAAAGGAGCCTCTTGCACAAGTTGGAGGATGACTTTCCTTTGGGACTAGCACAGAACTTAGCTCCTAAATGCATAATGATGCAGTTCCGAGGAGGAAAAGCCCTTACTCAGTTACACAGCTACATATATCACAGAATTTCTTCCCATCACACCTAGGTAAGGAAAGACCTGGCCTAAACTAGAGCATGTGTGGAAAACAGAAGTTGTGCAGAGTGTAGCTCAGCACCAGCATTGCAGTATTGTCCTCAGGACTAAACTGGCTACGGCAGTGGCTATTTCACAGGGTGTTCCTAGAAGCAGTGTCCAGCTGTCTGCTCAAGGAGCACCTCTCTTAATCATCTGGAGCAAAAGGAGGAGGAGAGAGGAGGAAGGAAGGGCTCAGCTGCACAAAGACCTGGCCCCAGATTCCAGCGTTGTGTTAAAGACAGCCAATGTGTGGGAAGCACAGCAGTATATTCGTGTACGACTAGGTCATCTGTAAACACAGAAATCAGGCAATGCTCAAAGGCGTTCTTTGCAGCTCAGCGGGGAGAGGCTATTTCCAAATCAGCCCTCCCACAAGTATTGGCCCGAACTCCTTCCTGGGTTGCTCTGTGCCACAGCTTCCCCCCAGAACACCTCAGCAGCACCCAGGTCACGAGGAAGTAGCAACAGGGTACAAAACCACCTGCTCCCTCCTCATAGACTAGCCATGAAAAGCCTCTGTTTCCTCAGAGAGGGCAGCTATTGACGGGGAAAGGCCACAGCCTCAAGCTAGTTCCTCCCATTGCTCTGAACCCCCCATCCCTGCCAGAGCGCCACGGCAGGCGCTCCGAGAGCTGTGGTGGCAGCACGGCAGTGAGTGACTCTTCTCCGGGCTTGCTTGGGCTCCCACCCTCACCGCCGGCACAGTTTTCTCTCTTCCAAGTCCTGCCTGAACTAAGGACGATGTATATTTCTGTCTAGTTTTCACTGATATCCTCAAAAAGTGTTACTGATTTGCATCAACAGCTATCTTGAATTACGCTGCCCTTGGAAAATGTGATTGTTTGGCTTTTTTGTTCCAGTGACATAAGAAAAGATCGCATTTTAGCAGAGGAGTTGGAAAAAGTTAAGCTTGGAAGCCTTTTGCCATCAAGTCTGATCAAAGAGCTTGAAAAGAAATACCTTGACAGTGAAGAGGTGAGAATCTGTTCAGGCCCTTCCCCTCCCTTTGCTGCTATTGTATGACTCCTTGGAGAAGCTCTAACTTGTCCTCAGTGCACACTTCTCTGCTCTCTGTGTAATCACTCGCCCTTCAGGAAAGAAGAAAAAGCAAGAATGCTTTTGTTTCTTTTCGGAAGACAAAGCAGTCTTCTGCTAGATTGGATTTGCAGAACAAACTCCCTACTGCCTTCTGGGTAACCTAGCCTTCTGCGCTTGGGGTCAGCAGAAAATAATTGATCTGTTCTTGTAAACCCTGTGTTAGTAAGGTGGCAAAAATCAAACTACGAATCTTTATGGGTAACTTTCCAGCTGACTGTTATGTCCCCAGAGGGAGCTAAAACTCATTCTTACAGATGATGGATTCAGAATTACTTTTAGTCTTTGCAGCCATGCCAGAAACAAATCATACCCAGACCTTGAGTGAGTGCAAATGTGTGTGCAGGTCTAATCTTGAAAAATTTCTCTCCTTGATGAAAAAATCACCTGGTTTGCAGCGACTAACAGTTTCTCTAATTTTTGGATCACTCTTCCCTTAATGAACACAAGAAGTGACCTTATAATACTCCCAAAGCTTAGCGCTTCGGATACCTCAAAACTTTGGGCTAGAATTCTGGAAAATTGGAAGACAAGTTCCAAGTTGAAATCTAGCCTGTGATATCTTGCAGATGGGAAAGGTAGGTGTGAAGGCTGCAACGTACACCAATGCAGCAGCCGGAGATAGATGCCAGCTACTGCACAAACTGTTTTGAAAGTCTTCATGCACAATATGCATACAAGAGGGATCAAAGCGAAAAAAAGGAACTGAGGCCATTCTGAGTTTCTCTCTCCCCAGAGCTCATAAGATGTCAGAAGTGGTCATGAAAAAGGAATGCAAAATTGGGCCCCGTGGGTCGTAGTACAGAGCCTTACACACAAACAATTCCTGGTTCTGGCAATTCCTGGCTCTGGCACATGGGGCTGCTTAAGACCTTTCTATCGGTTGCTGTCTTCCTCCTGCCACTAGAAATCACCACCACCAAGCTGATCAGTCAGGAAAGTAGATCCAAGGTGGCAGTCAGGGATGCAGATACTGATTTCATCTTCACCAGTTCCTACTCTGAAACATTCAGTTCAGTCAATTGTAAGGTGTTGTCTTTGCTGCTCTGCTGGGGTACAAAGGGATGTAGTTGAGGTCCACCACAGATGCCTTTCTCAAAGGCCTTGCTAGAGTGCAGGGATGCCTCAATGCACAGCTACATCCTGCTGACCCTGCCTGGGGCAGCCTGGAGACTCCACTAAACACAAATAATGCAAATCTGACCCTCAGCGAACTTAAGCAAAGCTGGGAGGCGTCACAACGCCAAAGGCAAAGCTCTTCCTCCACCCACGCAGGCAGTGAGCTGCCAGGCAGGAGCACAGAGCTTGTAAGTTTGCAGGAGAGTTGGGTTTTGAGCATTCAAATTTAGTACCTCTGAGTATGATGGAGGCGTCATGTAACAAAGAGTCTTGATTTCTCAGCTAGGGCAGAGGAAAAAAGTCTGCTGAGCCAGACAAATGATAGGTGGGTGAGAAAAACAGTCTGCACAAGCAGAAGGTAATAACTGTTACATCCAGTTTGTGGTAAATGTTGTTGTTCTTTCTTCCCTAAAGGCTACTGTCAAAAATTGTCTGAGTCGATGTTTAGAAACGGAAATCCAAAGATGGAAAAAAGATCAAGAACCTGAGAAACTAGATGGACATTTTCACAGCGAATTAGCTATACTTGCTATCCAGGTAATACGAGCTTTTACTATGAACAAAGAATTGCATCCTATATATCTTTAGCATTTGAGACCAACTACAGTCAATTCAGGAAACCCGGGCTATCTCAGTAAAGGGCAGACAGGGAAATACCACGGGAAAACTTACATAATCTCCTCATCAGGATGTGGCAATCTTTCTTAATTACCAGGGATTCAGCCACCCAAACACCATGTGTAGGACAGGGGCAGAAGGACGTGGAGGTACAGAGAGGCTGAGTGGCTTATTTTAGGTTAGAGAATAAGCTGGCAGTATAAGAGAGATCACACCCATGTCCCAACAGTCTCAGTCTGGCACATGGCATGAGACAACCCTCCACCTGTCCTCAGGAGCAGCCTGCTGCCTCTTGGCAGTTTGGAGCCACCTCTCCTGTCCAGCCCCGAGAAAACGTCCCCTAAATGGACTGGGCAGAAAGAGCAGGAATCTGGCCTTCACTTCTACTTGTGCAGCTTCTTCTGTGCGCCAGCCTACGCTGAGGCATTGAACGCCGGATAGAGTCAGAGCGGAGAGACAAGGAGCAGGTTTAACCGAGCGAACGAGGAGTTATTTATCACAGGTTGGGCTTGCTTGCTGGAAGGGTTTCACAGGCAGGTCAGTCATGGCTGCTCGCTCCCTCTCCACAGGGACCCCACAGGGAGTTCTCACCTTCCTCTCATTGCAGCCAATTAATACAGTCTCCTTTTCAGAAATAAATCCTTTGTATGTTAAGCTGTTTTTTTCTTTAATGCAATCATATGACATTCAGCAAAAAAACAAACAAACAAACAAGTGTTACTTTCCCAACCATTTGTTTTTCTGAAGGCTGTCCTTAAGGCTTCTTTCTTTTTGACCTCAGTCCCCAGTTTGAAAATGGACTTAAAAATTGTCTTGAATGCCCCAAATCGGTGGAGTTGCATGGCGCAGCGCTTGGCTCTAGCCCCAGAGCACAGCGCAGGAGAGCTGGGGCAGGAGGCAGTTGCGGCCCCTCGCAAACCGCCTGCCCGGGCCCCGCTCGCCTTCTTGCCCGCTTTGGTGCCCACCGTCTTGTCTCTGCAGCCCACTGCACCTGTCCTCTCTCTCCATAATGCGAAGCTGAATGAAAGAGTTGCATCCTTTTTAACAAGTGAACCTGTCTTTTTGGAGCGTGAAGCATTTGAAATTGTGGATTTTCTTGTTTGCTAGAATATCTACGGAGGCCAGAAGCGAGCTGATGCCCTCAGTGCTGCGTTGGGCGAAGAGATATCACCTTGCCTGTCGAGGGAGTTATCCGCCTTTCTGAAAAGGTGCGGTAAGGTAGCTTGTGGCAGGAAGGTGTCCCTGGGGTCCAGGCAAAGAGTTCCTCATCCTTGTCTCCTCTTCTAATCGCCCCTCTAGCTACAAGGATGCGTTTGAGGACTTTAAAGAGAAGAACAAGAAGCAGAGGTTCTACAAGCCTATACTGATTGCAAATATTAACAACTGCCAAAATTTCAGGTAAGCATCCAAAAGAAAAATTCTCTGCTCCTTGCTCTGCCAGATATCAGATCATAAGCAGGTGTTGCAGAGCAGGAAGAGGAGGCTCGCTCTGCCAGCAGAGGAAGGCTTGGTTCCTTACCCTAATTCAGGCCTGGCCAGCTGCCCGCATCTGCAACACGAGAAGTGCCCTTGCCAGCTCAGCAATGAGCCCGCTTGCCCGCGCGGCCCCCACGGCCTTTTGCGGGGTGACGGTGCTCGCTGGTCCCTGTGGCCGCCGGGGTCATGGTTAGGAGGCTCTTACATAGCACTTCATGCTATCACAAAGAGCCTCGGGGTTACTTACGTCACCACCATGGCCAGGGTCGTGTTAACTTTAGAAGTTATGTCACTTTAAGTCAAAGGAGGATATTACTTTAGTTTCTCTGAATTTCTCTTGCACTCTCTCTCTTTTTTCTTCTTTTTTTGAGGTTTAGGAACAAATTATTCTGACCTTGTTGATATTTCCTTTCAGAGACTACACAGAGAGAAACATAGCTGAAAAGGATGACGATAAAGCCAGTATTCTCAGCACGCTCAGTGACATTGAAAACAGTGGCTTCGATGTACTGCTTCAACAACTGTTTGCACAGCTGAAGGTACCATGTCTGTACATTACTGTGTAATGTGTATGCATTGTGCATATATATTGTACATATAGGAACACTAAATGCATGTGTGCATAGAGCTTGCTTTGAGGAAACTAATCAGATTTTATTTTTTTCAGCCAATTTATAAGAAGTTTACAGAAAATAAGTGGGATTCCAGTGATGAAATTATGAATGAAATCATTAAAACAACCGGAAAACATATTTCAGACTTCCAGACTCTAAACGACTCTTTTTACAAGGTGAGGCACTGAGAGGAATCCAAGTGTGGGTTTTCAGCTCTAATCCTCTGCAACTCAAGCTGCTGTGACCTGATTTAAGCTGGCAAGCCTTCATGGCATCAGATAGTCCTCTCAAGTGGGATTTAATAATGTAAATGGGATTTACATGCATTTTACCTAGACTATCCATATGAATTGTAGTCTTCTCCAGCAAAGGCAGAAAAAACTCCCATGCGGCAGAAAAAGTGCCATCTTTAGGGACCAGCTGAAATATGTCTTTTTCCATGTATGGGTTTGGCATAGCTGTCCTGAAGCACCAATGCAATCACATGATTTTGTATTACACCTGTTCTGATTGCCCTAAGGACTAGAGGACATGGATGTAACCGGGAAAAATCCCAGATAACTTAGCAACAACTATATTCTTAGTGCTACTGGGACATATGTGAAACATCACCACATAAAAAATGTTTGCTTTCCTGCCTTTGTCTTTTTAGGAGTTGAAGTAAAATTATGATGTTTTCGTGTGTTAGAGAGAGGAACAGGAGGAGCAGAGTGAATTCCTGTTCCTCTGGATTACTGCTACTTCTTCTGTAACACACGCAGGTCTTTTCTCAGTGTTAAACTTTTCCCAGAAGGAAACAACATTTGGTAATTCCCACACTTCCCATACTTTGAGTATAAAGAAATTCTCTGTATCTAGGATGTCACTTAGGAAGTTGTAGGGAGGTTGGCACTCAGTGCAGTTCCCCAAATGTAGTCAACAGCGAGGATTTGGTGCAGCATGTTTTACAGCACTCAAGACGTTTTGTCCTCCATCTACAAACAAGATTTATCGTGTCCCCAAGCAAAAGCTAGACGGATGGTCCACTCTCTCCCTTTACATTCCCTTAACCTATCCCAAATGCCCATGCTACCTTATCTCTGTATTATCTACCAATATTGTATCTGATTATGTTATATTATATTATCCACCAGAAGCTCATGAATACTTTCCCCTTCCACTCTTGCCTTTCCTCTGTGGGGTCCCCTGGCTCCAGCCTCCCTCCAGCCCCACATAGAGAACATCCGCCCAGCTTCCAGCCCTCTGGACGCGCGGATGGACACCCTTCCTAGATGGCTTCCTGCCATTTCCATCTTCACCGGGGAGCACAGCAGGCCACAGGGCTAGCAAGGAGCGCTCTTCTGCTCTCTTCCTGCAAATCGCCCTCCCTCGGCGGCAGGTCTGCCCGTCCCCTCAGAGGTCACCCAGGCTGCCCTGTCCCCACACGCCTTCACAAGCTGGGGACTCTGCTGGCAACCACCCCGTGGCTGCTTTACCAGTTCAGTGGCAGGACACTGTCCCTGCAACACTTTCTTTCATGGGCCCCTATCCCCTGACAGTCTTCCAGCTGAATGCTCATGTTCCTCCATCCAGGTATACCCTTCTGTGTGTATGGCCCCAACAAACTAACTGCCGTCTCCTTTCCAACAGACTATCATAGAAAAGATCCATGTCCATTTGGTTAAAGAGTACATTGTGAGGCTGCTGAAGAGGAGAGTCAGCCTGAAAAGTCCAGTGCAACAGCAAAATCTGGCACAAAACATCTCCAAGAATGCTGCTGCCCTGGAAGCCTTCTGCACCAACCAAGTACGTGAGTACTCCCCGCCTCCACGCTAGCACACAGTGCAGGCACAGAGAGAAAGAGCAGAAGGCATTTTCTGCAGCCTCTCATTAACCTTTCCAATGCTGTTTAGTTTGCTGGAAAAACATTAGGCAGAAAGAGCTTTCCTAGTGCCAAGCCTGCGGGGATGGAGGTTCCCATACTGCCAGCCTGCCCTCCTCCAGAGACAGAGCACTGACTTCACTCTCCTTTCTCTTATAAGGAGTTGCTTCCTTTTACAAATTTATTTCAATAGGGACACAAGAATTAGCCAAATAACGCACTTCTCTGGTTTCAGTACTACTTGTATGGAGTCTGGTTTTTGACTCTTCCCTCTCACCCTTGATTGTCCTTTACTCTGCTGCTTTTAGGTCAGGCAGGGGCTGGAAAGGCTGGGCTGGGGTTATGTGAAATACAAGGCTTTCCTCCACAAGATGCTCTTGCTTTCAGAACCGCATTTCTGAATGGCTGAAACACCCTTTTGTGTCCTTTGAGATTTTTTTCCCTCCTTTCATGCCTTTAACTTTACTTGCAAAAAACTAAGGCAAACCTAGTCTTCTCCCACCCCACACACATTTGACAGGAAAAGGAATAGCAAGTCTAAGCAATAGTCAGTGTGGGCAGAAGATCAAGGCCCCGTCTCATGGAGATATCCCACAGCTAGAAAACTGGTCCAAGTGGGGCTTTTATCGAGGTTGATGGGGAAAAGGATGTTGCCAATTCCTAGAAGCTAAAGCCAGGGGTGTATCCAGCTCTGGGAGACAGCAGGCACTTGTTAGGTGCATTACTTTGCATATCAATCATCGTGCATACCCTGGGACTGCAGATAGCATAGATACTCAAAGGAAGGGTAATGTGAGCCAAATGTTCTGGGAGTGAAGAGCAGAGAGGGTCTGTCCACGTAGATGCGGAAGCCTCAACCTTATAGTAAAAGTGAACCCCACACCACCTACATGAGAGTATTAAAAACAACTGACCAACTCACCCAGCTTCTCCAAGGCTGACTGGGGAAGGCACTGGCTAGAACAGCCGCTGAAAACAATGAAGTGTCTGAAATCCCTACTGCATCCTTCCCTGCTCGCCAGGACGTGTCGTCAGATACTGCTTCAGCTGCACTCACAGTTAAGCATGGTTCCTAGGGCTGCGCGGAGGCTTTGGACCTCTCCTGGGCCTGCAGGAGGCCCCACTGACTGCTTTCTTCTCTGGCAGGGATCTCAAGCCATGTGGTTGAATTCTGCACTCCCAAAACTTGCTGAAATAATCCGACTTCAGGATTCAGGTGCTATTAAAATTGAAGTTGCAACACTTGCCACAGTGTACCCAGACATTCGGTAAGAGAAGCTGAAACAGATTTGCAAATACTGTTACAGAGTTTTAACTGAGCCGTGAAACAGTCAAATATTGGAGTGGATGAGATTCATACACCCTAAGTTCAGATGCAGTCGGGTAATGCTCACCTCTGCTAGATAAGTGCCCAGAGAGCCAGTAGGTAACCAAAGCCCTTTTAGCTGGATATATCTCTTTCCACACTGTTTTCCCTAAACATTTCTTTCCCAAACCTTACAAAGACCTTAACTTGCTCCGAGCAGAGGGGATGGGGGACTGCCTGCCAGGCTGTAATAATTCCAGCGCCATCAGACAAAAATGGCCTCTTTACATGTTCTATGTTTGGGCCTGATTTCTTCTTTTGCCTTGGAGATTCCCTGCCCTGCCCCTAGACCTCCTGGGACAGGCTTGGGTCCTCCAAAAGATAACTAACCAAATGCTAAGCTGGGCCATCGGGAGGGTCTCCACCTGGCAGGAAGGACCAATACACTGGATGCAGAGAGCCGCAAAAGTTAACACGTGTCGATGATGTCTCTTCAACAGCAAAAGGCACCTTGAAGCTTTCCTGTATATCAAGGCGAATTTGGCACGCAGTGAACTGAAAAGCATCCTGAGCTACTTGGCAGACAGCGTGGCGTCCACGCCTTCAGGCGCACCCTTGTTCTCAAATATAAACGTGTCCTAGGCCAAAGCCAGCCCTTGGCATCCTTACTGTACAGGACTATAGCTAAGCTAATGAAAGGCCCCACAGGGGCAGGGATGGAGACAGTCCCTTAGAGCAATGCTGTGCATAGCATACACTGTCACATTTTCCTACGGAAAATACTTTGTTATGCTTTGGTGTTCAGCATCCCTACGGAAAGCGTCGTCCTCTGCGCACAACTGCAAGAAGGCAGGATCCAACCACGGGAACATAACCCAGTGCCTCACAGCCAAGGATTGCTCCTCGCACCAGCTGCGGACTCCCTCCAGGGTCTCGGAAACGTTCCTTGGTGCTGCCACTTTCTCTATCTGGAAACTAGCTTGGTACCCTACCATCCGACTACCTCACCGGGGCTTTGCGAAAGCCACTTTGCCCACTCCCCAGTTAGCCCAGACCTAGCAGGCACCTCATACATAGCTTGGTTTCTCTTAAGGAGAGGGCTCTTTTCTAGGAGGGAAAAAAAAATGAAGCCAAAATACAGAGATGAAGCCCCAGCTTGTGGGACCAGAGAGAAGCTGTAAGTCAGACAGCCTTGGACTCCTTTTGTCCTTTTGCACGCCAACAGCTCCAAAGATTTGGGTTTGGCCGTGACCCTGGCTCCATGTCCACCGTACACGGGGGCATTGCCTGGGGGCCTCGGGTGGGTTGACTGGTACCAGATTCCATTAAAACGTTTTGAGCTCTCTGTATGCATCCCCGTTTCCTCGGTTGCTCTTTTCCCTGTTGTGAGGTGGATTAGATGTGAAAACATGTCTGTTTTGCGCGTCTGTTTTGAAACTGCATATTGTTTTTACAGTCCAGTCTTTTAGGAAGGGAATTACTTGCCAGACCAAGACTGTGTTTAGCTGAAGACCTTTCCCTTTGTTTTTCTTTATTTCAGCTTCTGTATCAGTCTGTAGAAAGTCAGTCCAGAAGGAAGACACACAAAGACTGTGCAAACCATGTAATGGTATATGCATATGCAAACCATACCCGTTTTAATGTGCCTTGTATATATCACACTTGAGTTTTGATGTCTAGTCGTTGACTATATATCCATATATAGGTGTATTTCGTTGGTGTATTTTTGCATCCAATTTTATTCTCTCTCAGTTGGAGATCTTCATTTGCAATGTTTATATTTAAACAGTATTCAAATCTGCTAGAAACCTGACTCATTTGTTACATCGGTGGCTGTTGTTTACTCTATTGCCACATGTAATCCTACGTACCCCCTCGAAGAGCCAATTCTTCCACAACTTCCAGTCTGTTCTGTGTCAACCTGATGAATGTCACCTTCTCGCACCTAGCGTGCGGAGGGTGTTGCTGGTAAAGCAATGGCACGCACTATCTTTGTACTGCATATTGGGCCCATAGCCCAGCTTTTCACACTCTTTGGAGCAAGGACTGTCACATTCACAGTGTCTATTATATCTGGTACAGTGAGGCCCGAAGTGCCAGCCTCTAGGCGCTACCACAGAATCGATGCTGAATAACAAAAAGAGACGTACTTGAGATGCGTCTCATCCTTACTGCTCTGGCATGTCCCTTGTTCCGTCTCTGGTTTCTGCTCCTGCTAGTACAAGTTTTTAGGAAATACGGCTTGTGATAATTTGGCCCCGGCTGGCACTATTGGCCCAAATTTTACTCTCTTAGCAGTTGTTACTGAACTTGTACCTATCATTTCACTGCTGTGCCCAGTAAGGCAGTTGCTGAAAGCACCAACACTCAGGGGCTTCTCGCTAGCCATGGCCTGTGGCACAGGCTGAGAGAAGGAGTCCTTCACAACAAGTTGCAGGACATAATTACATGTTATGTGAAACAGTACTTTGGTTTCCGTATGCTGCCTGTACATCAAGGGCACGAATCACTCACTCGCCTTCCATAAGCACTCTCACACGTGCACAGACGTACATATGTGCACGTAATTTAAACACTTACCGCAACTACAATTTAAAGCCAAATGTCAGAATGACTTCAATCAGCAGTACTGAACACTCATGAGAACTGTCACCTATTGTGAAACATTTTCTTTCCCAATTAGTAAAAGGTCACGCGATTGCTATAAATAATTATATTTTGATTTCACGGTCTGCTAAGGGGTTGGAGAAATATATCACACAAGTGATTATGCTGGCCTTTAAAAAAAAAAGATTCCAACTAAGTAAATGCTTGAAGGAAAATAGTAAATCTATTTATATATCATCATAATTAGCATGGGTAGGAGAAAATGCACATTTCATAAGCCATATGCAACCGTGTTGTGTAATTCTTCTCATCCTGCCATAAAAACCTTAGCTTTCAGCTTTAATGAGCCCAGAAAGCTAATTTATTTATCTTCCTGTAGGATTCAACATTTACAATGGCATTTTTTTATACGTCGCATATTCCACATAGCCAGGTACTTTCAGGAAGATGCATAAACAGCGTGTGATGTTTGTGTTAGACTAATAACACCTATAAGCACTCCTATAAGCTAACTAAATAAAGGATTCTGTGGCCAGTGTGTCTGGATTTTCTTCATCACACAACTACTGGTGTTGATCTCTGCCTCTACTTAGAGGCACAGCACATAGCAAAGTTGAATTAGCCTTAGTCCTAAAATTAGCCTTATAAAACAGCTAAGAAAGATGGTTCCTGGATACGGTTGCTGTGACATTTTGACAGGCACTGCGTAGGCAAGCGTGGGACCGTGGATGGTGCAGCCCATGGAAGAGGGGTTTGCTCTGGGGTGCTCCCCAGGAGTTAATGAACCCTGGGTGCACCATGGCCAGCATCACCACACTGTGGGCTTGCTGTCAGCTAGGGGCACACCCTCCAACGACCTCGTGACTGACAAGTCCAGACAAAGGAGAAGTGACACTGCAGATCCACACCATAAACATCTGGCTGTGGAGCCGTTCCCCAGAGAATGACCCGTTAACAAATGTATTGCTGTGGCTGGGCACGAAGTTACCTGTTCATGCGCACACTGTTATTGCCTAGAGCCGTACAGCCTTGGTATAATTATGGGCTGGCTTTGCTCTGACAGGCTATAAAAGGGAGTAAGCCACATATGTCTGCTGTGGACTTGGGCCCACGGTCTGCTGGCCTGCGGACCTGAGGACCCACCTGTCGTCAGGGATGCCCCTCATGTCAACGGTGTGGTGAGGAGAAACTGGGGAAATCTATACTGGAGAGGTGGCTCATAAGGGGCAAGAGCGGCTGCTGAACGTGTGCATCCATTGTCAGAGAAACCGGGGAAAACTATACCAGAGGGGTGGTCCATAAAGGGCAAGAGTAGTCATTGTAGCCTACACCCGTGATTTAACTGTAGAGCACTGATACGTATATATATTTTCAGTTCTGTCATATTTCCAGCTTTACTATACTTTTAGCTTTGTTATAACCTCTTATCGCTGATAAATACTTGACAAATGATGATCTCTCAAGTTCAGTGCAACTAACCCTGGAATCTGAAAGAATCCCAGGCGCCCCTCTGCCGGCGCGTCACACATTCCCAGCTCCCCAGCTCCACTAGCAACAGCACCACACAGGATATCCTCCTGCAATAGCCGTGCAATGGACACGACAGGGCTCTCGCACACACACTCCTTGCTCACTGCCCATCCATCCCACAAGACGCTTCCCATCATTTGGCAGTAGACTTGAAGTTTTCATACAAAAGGCTCAGGGATACAAATCACAGGATATCAAAGGGGAGACCAAGGGCATAACTTGCCTCCTCTGCTCCTGGAAGAGCAATCTGTTGGATGAAAAGTCCCAGACGATACTTAGGGAATGGTTCTCCTTCCACAGGGAAGCCAAGATAACCAAAGGGCTCTTGACCGTCTGACACAGGGGAGGAATCTTCCTTAACCCAAGGGGTGATCAATGTCACCCTGAAGGTGCAGCAACAAACATTCACCTGGTACCCGTGAGCTCATTCCTGATCACCATGGGGGCATCAGGAACCCTTGGCCATCCATTAAGATGGGGGCAGAGAGGGATATTGCTGAGCTCTGCCATCCCAGACCCAAAAGAGACGTCACAGGCAGCTTTTCAGCATCCAGGGAAGTTGAGTAAGAAATGTTCGCTCCCTGCATACCGGGAGAAGGTGAAAAGCAAAAAAGTTCTGCTAGAACCTGCCAAGAAATTTTTGGGTTTCCAGACCTAGAAATAAAGAGTCAGGAAACCAGAACACCTGAATTCCACCCCCTTGAAGATGGATCTTCCTGCTAAGATTCCCTGAGACTTGATAGCGTTGGACTAAAGGCCATAGGAGTTACTGACATGCTGACTTAAAGAGAGACACAGTAGATCAGAGTGTCTGATGCTTTGGTAATTGTACCTTTCTGAATGTCAACGCTATAAGTGTTAGACAAGGTCAGAGCAGCGTCCTTTAAATGGCCCACATCTCTGGGGGGGATCATCTGTGGTTCATTTAAATCTGGCTTTCATCAGTGTAACTCTGCGCCACGCCAAAGTCTGAGTGTGACAGCTATCAAAATCCTGCTCACATAAGGCTTTGTCACACTAGATTGAAGCCCATGAGAGTAATTGCTCCCTTCCTGCATGACTTAAAAGAGGATGTGGCCACACCACTTGCACTGGTATTTTTAAAATACAAAACAGCTCTCCTGTAGGCAGCTGCATTAGAAACAATAGAGAGGGCAGCTAAATGTCAGGGGCCTTTTATGAATTACTCAGCACTGAGGCAAACAAAGATCTTTCCCTTAAGCAAAGGTGCAATTCCACAAGGCTGGGAAGAGCTCTGAGTATCACCTACATCACTTGGAAAGCAAGGGCAAATGCAACAGAGCAGATGCACACATCAGGCTGTTCAGGTGCACATTGTTGGAGGGTGGTTGATTGCATTTTTAAGGCATTTTACTACTGTAGAGAGAATCTTCCAACCTGCTAGGTACCATTTCCCCGTACTACCAGTATTCTTCTTTGGAAATCAGGTTAAAAAAATCCTTTTGAACTAACCAGCTTGGAAGCCTTCCCTACAAACCCATCTGTCATCTGCTCTCTGGATCCTGTCTCCTTAGAGGTTTACAGGTTCTTCTTTCACCTCTCCACTAGTCTCAGATGTTCACCGTAGAGCCTCTCCAGACCTTACCAAGCAGCACCCTTGGACCATGCTCTTCTAACCTTTCTACCCTTCATTCAGCAGAAGGGAGGGACACAGCAAGGCACTGTCATATAAAAGCACCCAGAAAAGCCATCATTTTAGGAGAAGGAATGCACTGCTGTTTATCTAAGTTTTCATTCAAAGAGGACAGAGCACTTAAAGTATAATAACTCTCCTAATGAACTAATGAAAGAGGAAAACATCTTTTGAGCAGAAAAGCTGAGTTCTCAAAAGTACTCGTTAACATTGGAATGGGAAGAGATTAACTTTAAAAGGGAGGAGACTATAACAGAACCTTGTAGAACAATATTTATCCTGGGTCTTGCAAGCCTTTTCCCAAAGGCTGGAAGCCAACCCCTAAGTCCCATTGGCAAGAGCAGCGGACTCTGAAAGCTGAGCCAAGCATATGGATTAGATAAAATGATAGGATAAAGCTAGCTGTGACATGTCCTAGTTAATAGAGGACAGTTTCTGCTCTTTACCTGGTTTTGCTGCAGACCCAGCTACCCTACAGCATGGTGACAAGAAGCGGCTACAGCTACCTGAGTTGTGGGGCAGGGACTGCCGTCCTCACTCTTCTACACAGCAGAAGTTCCTTGTCTGTAGCAAGGATCCCAAGCCCAACTGCACATATTGCAACACAGCTCTTTCGTAATCCGCACTGGGCTATGTCGACCCGCAAAGGTTGGTTACAGCGTCCCATTCTCTCATTTTAATATGTTGGGAGTGATAGCAATATTTCCAGTGCCCCAAAAAAGGCACTCAATAAAGTCAAGCTGGAAGAGGGAGGAAGGCAGGCTAGCACGGCCCCAAAGCTACGCCGTGAGCCTCCTTCTGGCTCTCAGATCTGAGCTCCAGCCCAGCATGAGAGCCATGGCAAGCCTGCCCCCTTCTTCACCGTCTGGCACCTAAACTTTGCCCGGCTGTAGGCCGTGGTGGCAGCCTGGCAACAGCCCGAGGGAAGCAAC